AGAAGAAATGCAAATTTCACCACTTTTTTGGGGGTGGCTTCAAACAAAACACGTTGGATCTCGGTTTATTTGGAAAAAGTGCATCTTTTGATCCTCTCTACCGCCCAATTATTTTTACATACTTATATGTAACAACCGTAGGTATACTACAATTTCCATTCCTCAAGAATCTGATACTCCCAGAGCGGTGTCGAAGCTGTATCGTCACGAAGCGATCTGTTTTCTATATTTCTGAGTTGAAACTGCATTTTCCAAGGATAATATTAACCGTAACCTGAAGAAAATTCCCGAGACATCAATAACTGTGAGTTACTTTAAATTGTTGACTTGTATAAAGTATTGCTCGATTATTTTTAGGAATTTGTATAAAAATTGTATTTAACGTTAATAATATTCCTAAAGGAACCGACCTGCGAGAATAAATAGCATGAAACAGATTTATATCGCATTTTGATAATCGAATTCAAACAAAGGACTTTGTTTATTTTTTTCATTAGTTGGGAATTTGCATTTATTTTCAGTGATCCCATACCTTTGGTTGGATTAAAATTTTGTTAGTCATCAAAGGTGTGTGAATATTTTAAATAAGGAATTTATTATGTATAAAAAATGATGGTTTAGATAAGGATCAAAACTAGCATTGATACGAAATCACGAGATAGGATTTGAATTTTATGTATCTGTGAAGAAAAATGTAATAGGATCGCCTTTATTTTTCTTAATAATATATTCAATTAATTTATTTTACATGCGTATTTATTCCAGTTTAATTAAAGCAGACCATCAGGTTTTGATTTTCAGATTTAAAGAAGAGATAAAAGGCCAAATCTTCCGCAAGGTATGGGGTGCTTTAAATGTTTTATTACAGAGCTAGCCGTGTGTAAAAGAAAATTAATTGTTAGAGTCAAATTTTAGTCAGCGCCGTGGAGATTCAATTTTATTCAATGTAAATAAGGTTTCAACCCTAAATGTACCTAACTAACTCGTTACACGGTTCCATAAACATAAGAGACAATATTGAAACGGTAAAGTTTGGATAAAGTCTGAAGAATCTACAGTGCTGGAAGAAGAAGATAATCAAGAGACGCCTTAACAGCAAAATAAGGAGTAGCTCACCTGAAACAAAAAATACCAAATTTAAAAAATATAACACATTTTTCAGATTTCCCCGAACAAATCTCATTTTAATTAATTAAAGTTTGATGATCTTCAAAGTCGAGGGACAATTTATGGCATTACGTTAAATGCGAACAATAGTGGAAGTTTTTAAACATGCGAAATTAAACTCTTCGCTTTGATCAATTGAAGAGTAGGGGAGCACTCTTAAAGAACTAATGTTTTAAAAATTCGAAAATTCTGATTAGTTCCGAAGATATTCGAAAAAAACCGAAATGAAGTATATTCGTTTTTATTTTGTCCTGGCCCTATTTGAAAAGATATCAAAAAACAAATAACACTTTCTTGTAGGAGTTTTTTAAACTCTACAAGATGGTGCCCACAGAATTCACTTTGAGTTCGACGTTTTGTTTTTGAAAACCAACAACTTCATATTTTTATATGGACCGGAAAAAAGTACACATTGCACATATCGATAAAAAATTACAGGGAAGTGTCCTCTAGCGCAATGAAGTTCTGATTCCAGTTCTGGTAGTTTAGTTCTGAAGCTTTGAAACTTTCCTCAAACGAATTGTGGTAAACTTTATTTACAATAAAAAATGGCTACATTATTACAAGGGCTGTATATGAAGGCTGAATTTAATCTTTTTTAAACATATCAAATATTTTGACAGGTGTTGGATGGCCTTTCAAAGGCACTGAAACTTTTCATGACATTTTGGATTTAAACCCAAAGTATAAAAACGGTTTACATTTCATATTTCCGTGTCATCTGTGATGGATCTTTAATTTGGATGTTACCACAAAACGGCATGGAATTGCATTGTTGTTCGTTTTAATTTTGTATTCATGCCACAACGTCAGACTAGCAAAGGGGTGGATTAATAGGACAGCTCATATTTTACTCGGCCCATTAGAATTTTAATTCCAAATGAGATGAGCGTGAGACTTGCCCCTTATATTTTTTAACTGTCAGTTGTGGAGCATATGTTTTTGAGCCATATACACGAGGTACCTAATGAGCAGAAAAATTTAATTACCCGTAAAGTCTAAATGGTAATGGAATGTGAGTTATAAGTCGTAATCGAGGCGAAAACGACTAAATTCTAATCTACCAATCACAAACTTTAGTTCGCATTAAGCTATGAAGTTTCGCTTCGCAATTACTTTTATGATTCATCTAAGAGTTCGATAAACTTGTCTTCATACAAAATACGAAGGTATAAATAGTGTAGTAAAGAAATACCTGAAGATTAAGTAATCAAAAGCCAATGAACTGAATAATCATCAAATATATTTTTAGCAAGAGCACTAATTATGTTTCTGCTTAATACCCAACGTTCGCCAAATCTTACAGCCTTATAAAGAACGGACACATCAGGTGGCAGATCAAGATTATAATTCTTAATTAGTTTAATAAGCACAATCTGAAACGTAGCAATGATAAAATATGCGTAACGATGATAAATCGTCTGTGACACTTGTGTCATAATTGTAAATCTTCTCGAAATATAATCCCCCAACACTCCGCTCTTTTTTGGTTGTTTACCATATTTATTTGTTGCCGCTATTATATAAAGCGGGGCAATGTAAATCAAGCCGCACCGGCATACGTTGGTTTTTCATAATTGATACGCTTTTTAAATGATCGATGTAGCATTTACAGTTAGTTTATTGCACGTTGGTTGTGGCAAAATAACCCAACTGGGAACGATTTCAGAATTCGAGGTGAAAATAAATTTCGAAAGAAATCGATGAGCTCCGATGAATCTAATTTAAGAAGTCAATGGTTATTACAGCATTCAAGCCATAACTAATTTATTTGTATATTATGATAATTGAATAATGGTTGAAACTAATTTCAATTACTAAATGATAAATTACGATCATTAATTATCATGTGTGATTATGTTTATTAGTGAGTATCGTCATCCACGAGGCCCTTTAATTAAATTTGTCACTTGTTTTGCTTTCATGTTGTATTGTACCGCCTTTAGAAAATCCCGTTTTTCTCGTACCCCGTTCCCGTTTTTCTCCGTTAGCGTGGGAACTTCGGGTCACCCCTTTTGAGTACACCTTAACGCCTTCAACGAATGAAGAAACTTACGTTCTAAATGTCAAGTCTTTTTTCGACTGTAAAACATAAAATCATGTTTTTTTATACGTACACATTTCGCTGATCATATTGAAACAGCGAAGTATTTTGCTAGGAGCAGAGAACGAGAAGAGGAAAAGAGACAGAGAAAGTTTACTTCTCTGCCTCTTTTCCGTTTCTCTGCTTCTTTTGAATTCCATATCTGCGTTTATCCCGTTTATATACAAGCAATTCCAGCATACTAATAAAAAAATTAATGTGAGATCCGCTGACACGTCGAAATTTCCGTACTTCCGCACTCCGTACTCGGAGCGGAAACTCACTTCTCGTGCTTGGTAAACGATACAATGTTTCTTGTTCCCGTTCCCGCGGGAATTTCGGAAAGTACTACATCAGAAACCTTCAGGAGCACACGTAATTAATACGTTTGACTGTCTATTTTTATGCCTCTCTCCTGAAGTC